TATATGTATAAAAGCTGTTTATAAAAGATAACACTTTTATATTCTTAGTTTTTGTATTGGAAGGCTATAGATAAAGTATTATATAAATAAAAATACTAAGTTCCTAAATTTAGCTTCACCAAAGCTGAATTACAACAGCTTCTTTTGTTAGCTCTTTTTGAATTCACGAATATTTGCTGTTTGGATTGATACAGAGAAGCTACTTAATAAATTAGGTCGACTTTAAAACTTAGGAAACTGATTATGTTCGGATTGGTAAAGTTCATTATCAGTTATAAATTAATTTGCTTTCGTTCCCTTCCACTCTGAATAAAAAATACTTGTTATTTAATAAATTTAATAAAAATAAAAAGTGTATAGTGAAGATCATGTTTTGACTTAATATTTTGACTTAACGCTTCAACGATATTTGTAATTACAACTGAGTTTTATTATCATTACCGTATTACATTTAAGTACTAATGAAAACTTTTTTTGTTTTTTGTACTCAACTCTATTTCCTTAGACGAACAGGAATTTGAAAGAGTTTTGTATAGGTGTAAATTCCATTATTTGTTTACGCAAGCATAAAATAAATAAATAGTAAAGTAAATTGTGTTACTAAAAACTAAATGAATAACTGAAAGTTTAACATTCGATTGAATAATACAAAGAACAAATTGAGAAAAAGAGATTCAATTTAAAGATTTATACGAATGTCATTTTTCGAAGTCATATTTCTTTAGTAAAAAATATTTTTCAACAAACAATAAGTATGGCAAGTGTATCAAAGTAAAGCGATTTTCTTTTATACACGACTCAGTGGAAATTTGAGTTTCATTTTAACGTAAGGCTTTCTTCAACTTTGACAATTTACGTTGATGTGTTTGAAAGTACTCGTATTATCAGCCTATTGTTACAAATGGGATGGCTATTTTCAAAGGCGTCGTTCCAAAACAATATTTCTTAAGGTTATTTTAATTACGACGAAGATATTAGATGAAGAGTTTTAATTACAGCATCAATTACTTTAATTTATATCTTTAAGTTAATGTAAATTAATAGCTAAAACAATTTTATTCATTAGAGCGAAATGTATCAAATAAAATGTTTAGTATCGTGAAATAGATAAAATACACTTAAATATTAAATTTGATATCTATACATAAAAAGGCTTTGAGCAGATATTTAACTTAACTTTTGATCGTTGACAAGCGAAACTAATATTATTAGAATATACAAAGAGAACTGGTATTAAAATTGAATTTTATGAGATAAATCAACCATGCCGTAATCTATTTGTTTTGCTGTAAGGTACTTTATCACTGAAATTGATAGCGACTAATGCTATTAAGAAACATCAAATTATTAAACGAATTGTAAATTTTCTTGTTATTAATCAGCTTAAGAATTACCGTTTTATAATATTTGATAAAATAAAGTTTGGGAAAATCACACTTATAGCTATCAAGTATACGGGACTTACACCAGGATTTAAGTAAATAGCTTAACAATTACATAAATAATAGATTAATCAAATTTACGATATGCATATGGGTAATATTATAAAACTGGTTATTGGTCAGAAAAAATAAAACAGGAGCGCTCATTTATAATTTATAATTGCACCTATCATAGGTTTCAGGCTAGGTTACCTTTAATTTTTTATAATTTTATGGGATTAATTAAGTATTGAGTACAAGCATCATATATATATGGTGACCATTTGGATAAGGATGAGAGCGATGTTTAATAACATGTTTGAAAAACTAATGTTTTGGGTATGGATATAAATACTGAATCCAAAATACATCGACCTTCAATTTAAATAGTATGAAAATCAAAGAAACTATAATAATTTTTGAAGTATTATTTTAAAGGATAACGTTTTCAGTTTTATAGAATTCTCAAAAAATCGATCATTTATATTTTAAGATGAAAGTCAGAAAAATATTTGCTCATATATGAACAAAACAAACGCTCAAACGGTTTCAGGAAATGGAAAATTAAAGAAAATGTTTTTATTAAAATTGACTTTTTGATTTTTACAAACAAAACCAATACCAGTCATAATAAATTTCAGGTGGAGTCCGACTTATAAAGTTGCACAAACAAATAATAAAAAAATCAATACATAGTTTAGAGGAGATTTGATTAATAACACTTTCTGTAAAGCTACTGATGAATATAATTCCTAAATAATTTCAAAGTAAAAAAGCTTGACGATTTATAAATTAAGAAGTAAACTTTTGACATGAGTCGTGTAATTTATTCATAAACATATCACGAAGTTTCTCGTTATATCGCCATTATTGCAATTAACGACAGAAACAGATTTTATGTTAATGGTAACAGAAAGGTACATTGTTCATATAAAATTATATTATATTTAAAACATTGATGGTCAAAAGATCTTAAATGTCGACCCCTCATCAAAGTTATCAATTTAATTTGAGTCCATTATTATAACGCAATAAAAATGTTATTCGATTTTTTTGATAGAATTTTTGCATTTCCTTTTGATATTTTTACAATAAGATTTTTTCTTTTAATATAACTGACTATGTTATCTTATCGTTTCTTGAACTACTTAGTTTTTGTTTTCATTAAGTACACTTAAAAAATTCATATCGTCACTTAAAGAAAAGAAAATTTCTCTGGTTGATTTCGACCTCCACGTGTAAATTTTTTATAGTAATCGTTTGTCTATTAACTTTTATGGCTGTGTTCATGATACGTTATTAAAATTGTTTGAATGCAATAAATAATTGTGTATCATATTCATTTTTATTTGGAACGAGATATATTTTTTATGTTTAGATATTTTTTAATGCCAAACCCAGGTTTAATTTAACTTAAATGACAATTGTGTTTTTTCTTCTTGAGATGCATTTTTTATTAACACATCTTTTTAAGTCGTTATCGTTTTTTATAAGCACGTTTTTCTTCTTTGTTAAGTTCGTCAAATTTTTTGAAGTTTTCATCAAATCCGTCCCTTGAAAGTTAAAAGAATTATTAAATATTATTGGAAGTTTAGGTTTCTGCACAGAAGTTTAAATACTTAGTGACAGGTCCCTTAGCAGTCAAAAGTTCAATGGTTGCTTAGATAAGATTTGGCGTAAAGATTATATATTATTTCATAATTCATGTCAGAATATTAAGAAAATTAATATTATTTTTATTACTCAATCCTGCAAATATTTAAAAAAAGGCAACATTATTCTTAGGTTTGCATTGTATTCATATTTTGAGCTAAAAATTTTTTATCTCGAACACTTTTAAAAAATTCTCTTGATTCTTTTCAGCAAATTTAAAATGTAATCCTTTTAACGAATTAAAAAATTTAAGAAACTTATATAATGGAAACGTAAACATCACCTTATTATATCAGTATTTTTTATTCTTCATAATATAGCACTGATTGCACCAAAGGATAAGTTAAAATTATTTTCTTCTAAAATGCTAATTAATAATATTCGTACAGTATCTCCTTTCAAAAATATTGAAAAATAAGTAATGAACTATTTCAAGCCTATTTTAATCATTCAACTTATTTAAAGGTCTGTCTCTTAAACAGGCAATGATTTTGTGAAACAATCGGATTTTGTATTACTTGTAAAATTTTAAGACATCAAAGTTCCAATGATAATATATGAACTACGAGAGTATGGGTTGTTTTATAAAAGTATCACAGTTGATCACTACAACTTCTTATACCATAATATCTACCCAAAGAAATAAAACAGTCTGACATATTATTACACTCTAATAGGCTTAACGCATTGACATCTCTTGACGATTTGACGCCTCTAGGGGCGCCTTGGTTGATAATATACCACAAAGCAAATAACTTGGCTTAGACTTCAACAATATTGAAGTTGGAATGTTAGTGTTGCGAAATTGAGTTATAAAGTTTCTTGACAGTTCTTAGGTACTTACGTGTTTTATTTGAATAGAAAAAGTTGTTGAAGAGTTTTAATAAAAGTCTTTACATAAAACAGCTCGTTATTATCCTTAGGTTTGAAAAAATTAAAAAAAATATCAATTAATCTCAAATAAAATTATATTTCAATTTTAAGGAATCACTTACGTTCCGCATGTTCATATTATTTTAAAAGCTCAGAATTTCCATTATTTTTCACCGTCACGAGCATAGTTTTTTTCACAGGACATATCCAAATGTGAAATAGACCAAAATTAACTTGTACTCGCTCTCAAATTGTGATTTAGTGCAGTTCAAGAAATAGTGAAAAGATAATTGCTAAACAATTACAGAATAGATGTAAAAGAGAAATAATTTCAAATTACTAGCGAGAAATAAAAAGCGACCAATTGATCAAGTGATTATCTGTAATAAGAATAATATTTATTATTTGTATCTCTAAAGAAATTTTTTGATAGCATAGAATGTTTTTTAAAATCCCAACAAATATTTACACATGTACGAGTATTATATCTCTTAGCATTGTTAGTAAAATAATGTTAAGAGCAATGCAAATTTACACGAAAACATATATCAGGGTTATTTTTTATATTTGCCGATAATATTGGTAGGCATGTAATACTGATAATATTTTATTGAAAATAGAGTAAATTCAAATTCCTATTATAATTCCTATTTTATGTATTTGTTTGATCTTTGATAATGAACGAAAAATAATATATTAAGGAATCAGTAAGAGAATATTTACTTTAATTTTAAGTTTTTTTTTTATATAAGACCCCTCTTTATATAAGTTAAATATGCATATTGCATAAATAAGTTTAAATATCATAAATGATATAGGTCTAGGTTAAGATTTATCACTTATATTGAAACGTGTTTGCTTGTGATTAATACCTGACGTCACGATGGATGAATGACCTGGCCTCTGGGATGCGGTATAGTCCCCGTTCTTAAGTCTTATCGGTTTTCAAACAGCGGTTAAGTATAAAAGTAGTTGTGATTAAAATTCACTATTAATTAACTTTTAAACTTCTACCAATCCGTAGTGTATTACTGCATTACAAATCTCGTCAATATGAAGTTTTTCTCGGTATTTGTTGTTATTGTAACTGTGTTAGCAGTGTTTCTCGGTACTAATGAAGCCCGACCAGGAAAAATACCCATTAATGCTATAAGAAAAGGAGCCAAAGCTGTTGTAAGTTAATAATTTTATACGAATTTTATACTTTAAAGTTAATAAAAGTAAAATTAAGTTTACAATAATATGATAAGATTTGAGAACTTTCTTAGTTTTTTGTATTTAATAATTAATGAATATATAAGAATGAATATATATGTAGATTCCTACAAATGATTCTTTATTTTATTATTTCAGGGTCATGGTCTTCGAGCTTTGAATATAGCAAGCACAGCTCATGATATTGTCAGTGCCTTCAAACATAAGAAAAGGAAGCATTGAATACTATGTATTTTATATATTAAGTGCCATGCCAAGTGTATTTTAGTATTAATTTTGTATTTTGTAAAAATAATTATAATAGATATAAGACACCAAACTTTTGAGAATATAATATTTTTATAACACATCTAGACGTCGTTTTACTATTTTATATTTTCTTTTCACAGTTTCAAGAATATTGAAAGAAAGAATTTCGAAACGGGAATGAATTTTCTACTGCATTTTTCATTCTGCATAGAGATGAAAAATAATGAAATAAATTTATTTGAATAACACAAAGAATAAAAATATATTATAATTCAATATTCTCAAAATTGCTTTTATGAATCAAGAACCGTTATAATTACTGTAATATTCAGTAGAATATTTCTTAGTAGTACCGTCGAGAAAAGGTCACTTGGTTTGCCCTCGAACAAATGTGTTACGCCTTAATCCATCAAAATTAATATTAAATTTGGTCTATTTGTTTTTTCTTCCACTAAATAGTCTGAAAACTTTTATATAATGGTGTAAATTAAAAACAAATACATCTATCCTTATAAACTATTTATAATAATATAAAGTTAGGAGTTCTTAAGTAATAAGAGTTTCCTTGGAAGGATTACTTTTTTTAAATGATTTAGTATTTTCAGAGTATCCTTCCGATAGCATTAACATTAAACAGAACTTCAACTACGGTCCATTAGAACTTTACTGGTAGGTTAGTGGCGTAGGAAAGTTCTAGGAAAATAGATGTTTAACTTTAAATCTCCCTTGAAGCGTAAATAGTGACAAATTAATGTATCTATGGTAGAATAAATAAATGTGTACTATTTAAAGATCGAGAATTGAATATATTTTTAACATTTTAAATATTTACAATTCATTCATAATATTTAAATACATTTAGGTATCTTTAATAATATTTCATTTAAATTAAAGAAAAACTTATTAATTTGAAATATATGTAAGTATTTTTAATCCTCCTTAGTAAAAATGGTCAAAATATTGAATTGCTAATTTTCGTAATGGATAACTAATTCCATTAATAAAACTCAACCCTTGAGGAGATTTTTCAGTCATATCCAATAGTTGATTCTTGTTATCTTACGATATTTAACGCTATAATAATATTGCGAGTCTTTGATTTTAACTTTAAATAAAGTAGCAGTACCTCTCTTTAAGTAAAATATTATTCTAAACAATATTTTTCTTAGACAAAAAAAGTAAAATATTTCTTTCTTTTTACTAATAGACATCGCTTTACCACCCACTGAAGGGTAGTTAACCCTATGTCCTATTTTATTGCTATAACGTAATAGTTTATTGGTCCTATATCAAACTTAATTGTTTTCTATTAAAAATGTTGATCCCTTCATTTTTGACTTGTTAAATAAGTACATATATGATACACATACATAAGAATGTTTATGGTTGATCTGAAACATATGTTATACCTAAATGAAAAAGACCGTAACACCTCAATGGCAGCATATTGAAAAAGTTATCCGTCTCGAACATAACTTCTTCACTGTGCCTCTTTTATGGCAAAGATTTGACTTCTGGAGAGATAATGTACTTGTATATATATTTAGGTATAAAATTATTCTAATTTAAGTCTGCAAAACAAAGGTGCATCAACTTTTAATGCTAATATAGGTTTACCATGTATTGTCTCAAATATACTAGCCATTAGGATGAATAAAAGTCAAGCACTTTTCATTCGTAAAAATAGACAATACTTCAAATGTTCGAGAGTAAATATCTAAAATGAAACTATGTGTTTCGTATATAACTACGCGATATTACAAATTCTAAAAAGCCGTACTTATATCCTAAATATAAAGTATCATTTAAACCAAATTATTGCCAAATATTCAATATTCAACGGAGGAAATGCATCAAAACATAAATCAAATTAGCAAAACAGTAAATATTATGGAAAATGTCTAAGTAACATAACCGCTGATCAGAATATTTGTAAATTGTAATAAATATAAATCTAAGTTTCAATAATATTATACTTATTTTCAATATAAGAAATAAGGTATTCAAAATAAAATGACCATCTTCAGTCCTGTCAAATATACTAGTCCAGAATATACCAAGTCCACTTTATTTAGATACCTCGAAGACCGGACATGTGCTCTGAATATTAATGTTCTTAAACCTGTATTGAAATTCCACATAATCTTACATGAAATACAGATTTACGTTTATCAGAAACGTGTTGCTAAAGTTCTTTAATGATAAAAATATATTTAAGGTGTTGGAGAATGTTAGACCTACTTTGTTAGAGGGTGAGGTGAACTGCATTTTTAGAGCGAAGAAAGCATCGCGCGATCACGTGACTACCCACCTTGGCTTGAGGGTAACTGTTGGTTTTTTAAATAGGTAAATTTGCAGGTGTGAGGGGTCGTCTTACCAGCCTGTCGGGAGCCTCACTTGAAAAACCTAGTCGTCGCTGTGATATGCAGTTATTTTTTTTTTTGATTCTTTTGATTCGTTTTAGTAATAATACTTATGCCTAATAAGGATAAGCTATTTCTCCTCATGAAAATGTGGTCCACTAGTTTTTTAGAATACAAAACTCTGACGTAGGAGGAAATGTAAGTTTTTTGACGACCCTGAGTCTGAGGCAAGATAGCATTCTAATTACTTAGGTTTTGGCACAGGTCGCCAATTATCCTGGGAGGAAATATTTTCAATGGAAAATCTAGAGGAACAAAAATTAGAGAACTGAAAACATGATAACTTGACACCAGTGTGGATATTTGGTTAAGTATAAAAAAAAACTTATGGTAATAATTTACCTCTTATCAAAAGACAACTGAGATTATATAAGAACAAGATTTAACAAACTGTAAATTGACCCGTGTTATATCATATTGCACAAGGTTATAGTTATAGTAGTTTTAGTCTTGTTTGTTTGATGCTACCTACCTTAAATTCAATATACATACATAAATTAAACTAAGTAACAAAAAATCTCAACTCCATATTATACGTTGATTGTTGTCTTTGATAAACGTATACTATTAAAATGTTTACTCAGAATTGATAATAATGTATTATTATAATTTTAAGTAATCACTTATAAGTATAATCATATTGCTAAGAAATTAGACACCCAGTACAGAAACACAGAACAAGACACATGTGGTAATTAACTTAATTATTTATCTGGCGTGTAGATTCAGTCAACGGGCAAGTTACTGAGGAATGAGGATCCGTCAGTAAAGCCCGAGCCGCGCATACGAATGAGCGCTGCTATGTGACGGTACAACGAATTTTCTATTTACGGACATAGAATGTTATTTTTTATGTAAAGTCTTATCAACACGCAGTATATAAATTGTTTATTAACAATTGATAAAATTATCGTAAACATGATGTTTTTTATTTTGCTAGCTGTCTTAATTACTGGTAAGTTATATATAATTCTTAATTGTAGTTCAGTTGCCAAAAAATAATTATGTTATAAATAAACTTTTGTAAATAGTTTTTTTAAAACAAAATGAGTAAGCAAATAATCGTATATTTCACATAAGTGACATTTTTTTAAATTAATCCTTAGTATTTTCATACAGCTTTACATACTGTAATATGAAGAGTAAAATAATTTTTAAACTGAAGTACTGTGATATAATTACGTCTCGATAATTCAATGATTTGTAATTTTTGTTTTCTTTCACTTAGTGTAATAATTTAATGCATTATACCTGCACTCTTACTTTATTGATATTTTTAATTATATTAAGCGATGTATTTAATTTATAAGAATAATTCAAAACTTGCGTATTTTTTAACAAAACATTTTTTTATATTAATATCAAGAAATGAGTATTAATTGTATTAACGATCTGGTTATTTGATTCACGTATACCTAATTATTTTGTAGTAAGAAATTGTACATTACATTGAAACAAACATTTTATTTCGGTAAATAATGGCGATTGTTAGAAGACTGCCAACAGTAGGTATAAAACTATCAACAATTTTGTGTCAAAAATAGGTGTTATTTTTAGAAAAAGTAGATTGCTCTAAATTTCCTGTCGGTTGTTATAGTCTAAGGACATGTGGGAGTTATCGCCTTCGTGCCTATTTGCACTCCTATTACCTGCCGATCAGCGATATCACCTATGCAACCCGGGGACTAGATAAATAAAAGCTTGTGAGATTTAAATTATTGTATATTCTAAAGAAATATATAAATGTAATACATATTTATTGATAATGAAACACAATAATTATCTTTGTTAAAATATCGGCAACTCAGTTGTCAAATGACAGTTGTCGAATATAAATATGTATATTCGCCTGGAACAGATTAATATGAAGTATTTAGGAGATTAATATTTTTAGGAAAACAAAAGAAAAATAACACATATATTAAATAGTCTCATTAGTGTTATTGAGCGTAATGTAATTAATAAATATTTTTTATTGCAATGAGACAATTAAAAAGGAACTTTTATCCCTTGGTTACTACAGTAAACTATTACATTTTCATTTCAAAATAAATTGCTGTCTTCATCTGAATGTAGTGACAAAGTTATCTTGTCTCAACTTTAGTCTACATTATTTTATTTGACAGTTGGAGTTGAACATAATTATATTTTTATGTCATGACCAGTATCCATGAAAAGAGGAGTGGTATAATAAAAGCTCATGCCTTCTACATATTATCGTGATGAGAAATCGCTATCCCTAAATCTAAAAGGAATTGTCAGTCTGGAAAAACCGTATCAGTCTGGTAATTCTTTAACCTTTTTAACTCTCAGAAAAAGGTCGTTCTGTATATTCAATACCAGGTTTGGTAAAAACGGAATATTACTGAAAGTGACGTTGAAAAAGGTATAACATAATTAAAATTTCGATCTTCATGAGTACTATTTATTCTGAAGCTTATAGCTTTACTAAACTTATTAAATGGGCCGATAGACGTAAGGAGAATTTTATTCACTTCATCCAAATGTTTCTCACAAATTTCATTCTTTATACCCAAAAGCAATGCCTTAAACGACCTACATTCGTTTGTTTATTTAAAGCCATTGTTCAACTCCACGTCTCATGTATGACAGCAATTCTGACTTCTACTTAGGTGACATAGATTTTCAGTATAAGAATAAAAAAAAATCTTTTTTAAATACTACAAAAATGTTTAATTGACTTTTTAATTGTTTTTACACCTTCAATATATATATATATATATAGATAAAAACAAATAATTTAAAATATATATATGTATATATATATATATATTAAGGAACTTCGTTCGGATTTTTAAAAATAAAATAACAGTAAGACATTTGACAATTTGACTATGCGATATTAATTAAAATGAACAAATATAAAAGGTAAATAAAGGAATGAAATGATAACCTGCTAACTCCAGTTAAACAACAATTAAAGTACTTACAGAGTAATATCCTTAAAATAGCCTTAGACTAATTGCTAAACCAATATTAATAGTCGAAAACCCATGAGCGATGTTGCCTCGACGACGGACCACCAGAAAGTGCAGATGTTTCTTTTTGCGCACTGCTTCTATTTTGTTTCTTTTCCAAGGAGTTCCTAACTCGGCTTCTATTTTGTTTCTTGACCAAGGAGTTTCCTAACTCGGCCTCTCCTGACTCTTGGTCGTCCTCGGCCACATTCTCTCTGTTTTTCAGTAGTAGCCTCGCCTACTGCGCCACCTTCCCGATCTTCGTCTTCAAGGTTTGGCATAGACGATCCGGCCGAAGCACCTTTAACATTGTCATCCTGAATTTTGAAATAACATCACCATTACTATCGGAAACATTATTGTTTGCATGAGTGTAGTGTCCAAATGGTTTTCAAATAAACAAAGTAATGTAAGCTAAACGGCATCCAAGACAGATAAAGTGAAAATAAAGAAAAAGGTGTGAAATCGACGGTATCCCAACAATTTCACATCCCCACAGTACATTACCATTGTCGGGTGACTCACGCCTTTGAAGGGCTACCAACACCATAGAAGTGCAGCTCATGCCAATGCGACTCACGCAATCGGCAACTTCCATCACTGGCGGCTCCCGTTAGTGGCGACTCCCGTCAGTGGCGACCAACGCTGATGGCGGCTGATGCAACTGAGGACAAACGTTAAGGGCGACTAACGCCCGTGCGACTAACGCACATGACGACACACGTCAAAGGCGACTAACGCCAAGGCGACAAACGCCTATGCGACTAACGCAACTGACGACACACGTCAAAGGCGACTAACGCCAAGGCGACAAACGCCTATGCGACTAACGCAACTGACGACACACGTCAAAGGCGACTAACGCCAAGGCGACAAACGCCAATGCGACTAACGCAACTGACGACACACGTCAAAGGCGACTAACGCCAAGGCGACAAACGCCTATGCGACTAACGCAAACTGACGACACACGTCAAAGGCGACTAACGCCAAGGCGACAAACGCCAATGCGACTAACGCAAACTGACGACACACGTCAAAGGCGACTAACGCCAAGGCGACAAACGCCAATGCGACTAACGCAAACTGACGACACACGTCAAAGGCGACTAACGCCAAGGCGACAAACGCCAGTGGTGATGAGTAGACTTGCGTCTTGAACTCCCACCCGGCAGCCGGTCAATGAGACGCCTGCGGTGTCTCGAACCTCCACCAGCTACAGGCCAGCGGGATGTCCCCGTCTGAGAACAGTCGTTAAAAGAAAATGAGCAAAGTGACAAAACAGTTCAAAAATTTCACCATCGAATACTATAGCACCAGTATCTGGGCACCATTCTAAATTCCATGGCATCACACGTTGAGTGGTTGGTTGAGCTGATTTAAGAGCATTACATTACATTGGATTACAATTTTAAACTGGATGCCAACTAGATTGTGGTGGAAATATTTTAAGGCCCTGACCTTATTTCACTATTGTAATTAATCTCTATTTCATGTACCGCGATCATACACGAATGCGGGATTACGCGCCCCAATACGAAAAATATGTCGTACTCATAACGAATTTTCTCAGGTTGATATTCCACGTCATAACTCTGCCGCGTTTCACAGCAAGTTGCGGGACGTATTATTGAAAAAAGAATAAACCACCTAGCAGTCCTGTTTTTCATTTACATTGACTGGGAATTTAGTTTAGTTTGTTTTAAGTATTGGATATTCTCTGCACATTCGTCATCGCTCCCTTCACATACTAGATTAGGTTTACACATCGCCTTTCAAATTTATTTATTAGTGAGGTACGTGCCCAAGCATCCTCTCATTTTTACTTAGTTATATTTCTTGGTGAGAAATGTTTGAGGACACAGGTATTTTGTCTTTAATATGCTGTATTGTTGTTTATATTTTTTTTGTTATACTCCTGTGATCTGTTTTTTTTTTCTCCAATAAACAAAATAAAATAAAAATAAAATTGCAGATGAGTTCATGTAATGATGTAATTGCAGAGCCTCCTCCTTTCTAGCGCTCGGGCTAACCTGACCACCACTTATATGTCTGTCTAAGTTCTCAAATTCGGTATTCAGAAACGAGTATTTTATTTTAATATTGATCGAAAAAAATAGAATTCTACCTTTACCTTTTTTTAGCATTAAAATTCAGAAGAAGTACTTTGTTGATATAAACGAGCAAGTCATCAAAATCAATGAATTCCCGAAGCATATCATTAATTGATAATAGGTTTGTAAACAATAGATGAGTTTGTCAAACCATATGGCATCTTTCAGTATTCGTAGTTCCCTCCTGACGCGGACGTAACGAAGCCTGTGTAGCGAATACAGTCGTCCCTGATTCTCATTTCATGAAGTCGCCATATCAGGGCCGGTGACGAAGTTATGTCATCCTGAAAAAATCAATTTAATGGTCAATAAATGAAAACGGATATCTTTCCTTCTCTGTATTGCGAATAAGTGCTCGAAAATCTTTTTCGTCACTGAAATTATTGAGCTGGCATATTGGGATCGAGATTCCCTAATGATGCCTTTATCTAAGAGATCTTTCATTATTTCGCTAACTTGTACTATCTTCCCGTAAAATAAATTGTATGGGCGATAAGTTATTGGAATTGAACTAGTAAGTTTGATATTCATCTCACCTATACTGTACTGTAGTGGCAGCGGTACACAAGAAAATCCGAGAAAGGCGACAATACAAACATTGGTAATTCCAGATTACTACCTGGCAGAGGGATTTTATATAAAGAGTTTTCGGTGGCTAGTACTTGATTAACCTGACTGATCCCAGCGAGTGATATACTGTTGTTGTTACTCTTACATACATTACTCCAACACGATTCAAAACATCTGTCGCTATTCATGCAGGCTGACGGTACTACTACTAGATCTTAAAATGAAATATTGCTGAATTCAATAGTTACTGTATTGTGAGGAAAGGCAAAGGTTTCGTATTCATTAACGTCTCGTAATGTACGTCATGTACTTGGGTTGGCAATAAAGTAATTTAAAAAGGTCAGAAGAAATCAGTGATATGTTGTGATCACCAATATTGATAAATATGTTAATCGGTATGCACTATCAACTGCAGGAACCACATCGATATTTCTCACCAGCTTCGGTTAACATATGCTTACATTTTGGTAGTTAGTTAATCTTGACCTATTCTTGACAAAACATGCGTCTTCACAGTGTCCTGTACTTTTAATAAATGCGCGTATTAAGACGACTTAGCAGCGGGAGTATAATTTTATTCTGAAAGTTGTTAATGTTGGTTCGTTTATTATTACAATTCGAAGTTCTGCAGATAAATCCTTAACCAATCGTAAACGTTATAATGTACGTCTCACATTCCCAGCGTATGTCGTGTTCATACATGCAAACGAAATGTTAACGGAGTCCAACTTCTGAGGACAGAGAGGTCTTAAATGAGTTTTAAAAATATCCATGTACGACCATTTGTGACCTATGAATTTAGTTATGTTTTGGCGTCGCCTTTTAAATAAGATGCTTCCCGGGAAAAACACACATGATCTTCCACTGTCCACTATCATTGCGCGATCTACCTCTAGACACAATAAATCAATCAGAAGGATCAAAAATTTACACGCAATAATGAAGCGATTTTATGAGTGCGAGATTCTTAAAGGCTTCTGCCACAATGGTAAAATACGAAACTGACATAGTATCGGGACAGAGAACAGCGAACAGTACCTTGATCGTGAGTCGTAGTCTGAGGGACACCGTTTAAGTTATCTCAACTATTTACGTTTGATGACTCGTTGCCACTATTAACTATGTGATTGTGAACTACAGACACATTTCTTACGACCGATTCAGCGACATTTCATTATAATTATGTTGTAACTCTACAACACTATTACTAAACTGATCGACAGCTTTGAGTCTTACTAAAATGTTATCCAAATTATCATTCAATGAATCACTACCAAGTAAGTGTGATGCGGGTGAGTGTCGGGAAGCTTTACTGCAGCTTGACTCGTGTCTCGATCTACGACAACTAATAACTAGGGTATCTATGTGGGCTAGATATCAATCTATTTTTCTCATGGCGTCATCTTTTTCTGATTTAGATCGATTACGATTCATTTTCTTAGACATAATTGTCAAAAAGAAAACAAAATACGGTCGACCAAAGAATTTATAAAAAAGAGATCTTTATCCCACTTCTGAATTAAGGAACTTCGTTCGGATTTTTAAAAATAAAATAACAGTAAGACATTTGACAATTTGACTATGCGATATTAATTAAAATGAACAAATATAAAAGGTAAATAAAGGAATGAAATGATAACCTGCTAACTCCAGTTAAACAACAATTAAAGTACTTACAGAGTAATATCCTTAAAATAGCCTTAGACTAATTGCTAAACCAATATTAATAGTCGAAAACCCATGAGCGATGTTGCCTCGACGACGGACCACCAGAAAGTGCAGATGTTTCTTTTTGCGCACTGCTTCTATTTTGTTTCTTTTCCAAGGAGTTCCTAACTCGGCTTCTATTTTGTTTCTTGACCAAGGAGTTTCCTAACTATATATATAAAGGTACACATGAATATTTCAAAACTATCTAAAAATCGTCATTTAATCTTTTTTAGAGGTAAATATAGACACGAACGTATAAATAACAAAAATATCAAAATTACATAATTTTTAAACAATTATATATGTACATAAGTCTAAATCTAATCAACAATAACATATAAAAAAATGTCACAATGGTATATTAAGCTGCAAAAGGAAGCTAGCGGGTTGTAAAATTTTATTTTTTAGGGGTACTGTTTCATGTTTGAAATTATTTTGCATTTTTCAGAACCAGTAAAAGTTTTAGTTAGTGTCATCCTATTCATAACTATAAAAATATCGGCAGCCTTTATAGTTAAAATAAACATTCTTTTTTATTTATCAACTTCTTTTTTGAAGATATAGGTGTTATTTTTCTCAACAAGATCTCATAATTGGTAAAATATTCATTAAACGTTAAAGGTGTTAGTTCGTCAAATATAATAAATAACGGGAAGAAAAAAAAATATAATAGTGTAAACAAAAAAAATGTTACTTATTATTTTGAAAACGAAATTCTGGTAACAGACTAAGTAACAGTTTAACGATTGATATAATCTTATAATATTAATTAATGATTGAGGGTGGTAAAATATAAAAAAAAATACATATTTTCATAATGATCTGATGATGATGATGATAAGCACAACAAATTCTTACATCTGGAAAGTAAACAACTATAAAAAGTAGTTTTGATTTTAACGCCTTCTAGTTTTATCTGAATGTTCGAAGTAAAGAGGTAATTGTGTCCATCACAATATTTCCCTAACATTTAGTCTGCACAAAACTCGACTATCAAAATATAATATCGAGAAGGTAATTTAAATGTATAAATTATATTTTCAAATCTCATCAGTTACCTGATATTTATCAGAATTATCAATACAAAAGTTCTTAACAAAACGATTCAACGGATTTCTCCTTAAATATATTTTCGGGAAATATTATATATCAACTGTGATCCAACTAGCAGTTATTGATTCAAGATAATTAATATTTTTCCTCTATGATCAATACCTATATGTTGTGACATCAAATCAGAATGAATTTAATTGATTAAAAAACTTATATTTATGCAATACATATATTTATTTCCTTTAATAGTTTGACATCGCTACATGGCTTGTACACTTTTGAACAAAGTCCATGTACGAATACATACAACTCTGGCTGAAATTATGGCGTGAATGGCGTCGTCGGGGCGGTCCTAATAGCCGGGATTTCTTCCATCCTCCGTCCGTTCTTTGCCAGGACCGGCCAGACGCTAATGTGCCCTGTCGCTGACAGATCCGGGGTACATCAACATAGCGGCCGATGGCTTTCGCAGTGGTTTTAGTGAGTAGGGGCCTGCCCAGGTCGAGTCTCACAGATCCCTTCCGGCCCCACCAAAGCCGGTTGGACGGCTCTTAAAAAGAGTTTCCCTGCGACATCAAAAAAAAATTGTACATGATTACAAAAAAACGATCTATTCTTCAAAGTTTGTTCATACAATTTTAAAGTGTTTCAAAGTGTCTTGCAAGAGGACATGTAGATAATTAAAAAAAGAGAAACTACATACTGATTTGTATCTTCTGAATGTATTTGGAAAAAAAAATACTATAAAACTTAATTTAAATACAGTAGGACCTCGATTATCCGGACTAAATGTTGTCGGTAGGCATCCGGATAATTGAAAGTCCGGATAATCCAATATATGAAGAAAAACGGGCTTTTTGCATATGTACATATGTTATATGTAGTCTGTACCATACATATGTAATGTTAGGTGTTTATTTAAAACAACAAATACTTACATATGAGCGAAAATCAACGTTTATTAAGAAATTGTACATAATGTACGTATAAGTGTTATAAGTGGGGCCCGGATTAATATGTAAATACATATTTTTAATTTACGCGATTTTCGGTCTAGAATGTGTTTTTTACATGGATTGTCATATTTAGACTGTGATAAACCAACTTTTATTTTCCATATTTTACCATATTTCAAAGTTAAGTCCATATTTTACAAGAAAATGTCACAATCATCCATATATTCACAAAAAAACATAAAAAAATAAAGGATTTAAAACGCTAAAAAATTAACAAAATTCTGTGCGAAAGTTTCGAGGGCTGTAGACATGGCTTACACAATTACTGAATTAAGTATGCTTAAGTATGCATCCATCACGTCATGTGAGTGGAGAGATCATACAGCAAATATAATGCTATATGTCGACCAAATGGTCAGTTTTCATTTTGATAATTTAAAGAAGGACGTCATTGTGTATTGCAACCAATTTGATAAAGCTAGTGTAATGGAAGTTGAATAAAACTGTTATTTTTTGTTGAAATAAATATTTCACTCCTTTTTTTCATCGTTTTTTAAATGTTTCTTAACGATGTACGTCACGAGTGACCCTTTCTTATAGTAAAACATTGTTTAATTATGAAATTATTTAATTTTATACTCCATATTTTTTGATTTTTTCGTCCGTATTTTATGTACATATTTTAGATTTTTTAATACATATTTATCCGGGCCCTAGTTATAAGTGGCGTGGCGTTATACAAGTTCTGACATGTTAATATTAGAATAAACTCGTCGCGATTGGCAGTCCGGATAATCGCGAATTCGGATAACCGAGGTCCGGATAATCGGGGTCCTACTGTATTTGAATTTTCCAGAAGGATATGGCATTTTAATTAAAAATCGTTAAAATTTGTCAATATTGAAACCTAAACAGTACTTGTATGATACTGGTTTAAGTTTAATTATGTTTTTAATGTTATTTCGCATACAGAAGATGCATTTCAAATGCACCTTGGAGACGTGAACACAGATCTTATTGCTTATATTATTGCGGTTATTGTGTACTCAATTGAAATAATACTCACAAATTTAAGAGACACATAATGAGTAATTAAGAATATGTCACCTTTGTTTTTATAAAATATTTCCTAATGGTTAAGATATATTTTATATAAGATACAAATACAGAAATCTAAAGTGGAAGCTGCATGATAATATCAGATATTATTAGTTTCTTTTCTTGAAATTACTTCATAATTAAGTGCAAATATAGGTATGTGGTAGTTGCTGGATATGTTCTGCTTGTTCACTATTTTGTGGAACACGTATAATACTATCCCCATTATATGCTTTTCACCTCCTTACCTCATATTGTGGTCGACAGGCTGCTAAAACCTTTTGCGTTACTCCTATATAGGTAGCTATACTGCAACATTGTTAAAACAACTATTTTATCCAACAAAACGGTTCTATACCAATATAAACAGTAGTTCTATATAATTAACAGAGTAATATCAGATATCAATTAAATAGTGTTCTTAAAGGTTCAAAACACACGAAATTATCAATTTTCTGTAATTTTGTTATATCAGTTCCGGTTTGATAAAATTTGGCTTCTAAGTGTAAGGAAACGTCATTTTTTTTAATTATAATTTTATCACACGTTACAGCAAAATATGGGGACCAAAATCGTTTACTCCACTGTCGTAATAAAATATTATTTGGTATAGATGGCGCATACACGAGCGAAGACAGCTGTGACCTTCAGGAACTGAAGTTTTGTGTCGATGCAACACCTCGAACACAGATCGGCCTACCCAAGAATAAGGATGAGCTTGACAACCATTGTTTGTAAGAACTAACACATATAAAATCAAGATAAAATACACTTAGTAGTTTTTTGCAACGCAGTTTTCGAGAAAATCAAGATCTTCTTTTTTAAAAGTCGTAACTAACAAAGTTCTAAAAGACACAACGGACCATTAAACACTCATAAGTGCTCGTAAAGTACATAAGTTTCAAGACACAGGGCTTGTTTGCGTTTTTTTATCAATTATGTGACAGAGTTAATCTAATTAATGATTATAATTTTACATAAAGATAGTTAAGGTTTAATTTTAGTTTTATATAAGAGAACGACCACTCATAAGAAATTGGAAATTACATTCGCAAATTAATATAGTATGTCGGCATAACAACATTTAAAACCCTTATAAGGGGTAGTTGTTTCATAAGTATTTTACTTTAGAGGTTAGATTTGACATAAACAAATCACTAAAGCCATTGTGTAAGTGATTTCTTTGACAAAATTATTTGTTCTACAGATCATTGTATGATTTGTATTAAAGAACAGTAAAAGTTAATTCGTACCGTGATTTGTAATATGTGACTATTAATCATTCTGTAACTTTTAGTAAAAAGGGAACTTAATTATTAACCAATTCGTAATAAATATTAATTAATTATGTTTTCTATAAATTATTAAGTTGCAATATAAAGATTGGGTGTTTAATAATTTCTAAAACTAATATGATGAGTTGTGTTTATTTGAATAACTAAGATTATTCGTCATAGCTAAATATTAAAATTTAAAAGAGTAAATGTATATAATGTTTTCACAAAAACCATTTATATTCGCAAACGTTGGTGGAAGGGACACAGTAGTCTGAGAGCCACCCAGGAAGAAGATTATCTAATTACAACTGCGAGTTAAAGTCTAAAATAAAGTATTGACAGTGTTTGTGAGTGTATTAATAGTTAAATCAAAATGGAAAATGGACAAGCTGACTGTAACTGTTTTTAACAATGATTGTGACGGCAGGATTGCTGACGTCACACTTCTTAAAAATCAAATATGACAAGGTTCATCGATATATATAATTAAAGATGAAATAGAAAATTGTTTCAGCAAATTTACTATCGAATATCAGCAAAACTTAATTAAATTTAATAGAACGTCAGTGGTTAGGGATCAAACGAAGACAACATTAAACGTTAAAAGTAATAATTATTATAATACTAACAGTGAAAATGTTTCTAAAATTTAAATATATACTTTGCAAATTTAAAATATGTACTTTAAAGCACTTAAGTGAGCGTTAAAATATTTTGTGAAATAGCTTACTTAAGACAAATACGAGGTTTCTTATAATAAAATAAACATGAATATGTATGTTAATCTGATTAAAAGAAACTATTTCGGATTAATTGTAGTAAAAAATAATATTGTCGTACAGAGCTTATCACACCGGCATGAAATGTATGGATACATGGATTAAACGTTGTCTGCCAACGGATGGACAAAAGATAATTCAACAGCAAATCGGAGGAGCACGAGCGCTTATGCGTTATTTGTGTAACAATGACACAGCTCTTCGTAGAGGTAAGAGAATAATATATTTTTACTGAACAAAATTTCATCCAAAAAAATTCTATTAGAATAAATACTTTTAATCTAAACGTTTGTTTTAGAAAAAAATAACATCATTATTATATTATCTACTTCAAAAACCAAAAATAACTATTTAATTGATTGTAGTTAAAACAATATTATATATTTCTGATTGAAAGTTCCTGCACCATTGTAAGAGTATATATATATAAAAAGGTAATATGAATCTAAAAGCGATTTTATGTAGATCCTCAAGGATCAATAAATGATTACAAATATAAAGTGACACCCAAAGTAGCATTCCACATTTATGTATTATAAATTTATGATACTTATATTTAATCACAAAAATTTATAATCTCAGTATATCTCAAAACAAAATACATGAATGCGATCAATGTAAAGTTTAATAGTCATCTGAGTTTATAAAATAAATAGGTTGACTTTCAATATAGTGTCTGTTAAAATAAACAAAGTTTAATTTTAAATTTAGGCACTAGTCATGTTAATCAATTAGATATATAAGTATTAAGTATGTTTGTTGCCGGTTTTATTTAAGAAACAATATTCTATATAATGTTACTAATTACTTTATTGCAAGAAAAGCAAAAGCTAGTGGAAGAAATTTAATGAGCAAAATCTATAAAACATCTTTAAGGACCCATAAAATATCCTAACTTTTTCTCGTATGTGAGTTTGAAAGGTTAAAATTGTCAATTAAATGAGTATGATTTTTCGTTATTTTAAGCTGTCCGGTTTTAGTGACGCTAATATGTAGTATTTTTATGTTCCGATAATAGATAATTATTTTTTTGCGTCTTGACTTAAATGTTCAAGCCTGATCTGTAAATCCCGATAGCTTGACAAGTTAAATATAGCATTGAAATTTTCATTAGTGTTCCTCATTGTTGGATTTATCAAGAATTTAATATACATTTTATAAATGTAAAAAATAAATATCCTGAAATTTAATACGAGTAATGTAGTTACTTAACGTTCAGAAGACTTAGAATGTTTGTCAGATTTTAAAAATAAGTTTTTAACTACAAGCATATAGAAGTATTACAGTTGTAATATTAATATTTTTGAATAAATAGTCCATGCCTTAACATCAAACGTGTTTCAAATAGTGTTTAATTTAATTTCAAATAATATTTTCATTGTTTAATTTTTAGAGAATCTTCAATCTAAAAGAGTTTAAAATTAAATTGTATTTGTATTAGTATTATAACGAGTAAATATAATGACTCTTTGCAAAGGTGTTTGAAAGGGTATTGGAAGGTAAGCGTGACAAATGCATTATCACTCCAATCATCATTACGTTTTATGATTACGAGTATGGGTAATAAATCTCTCGAGCAGCTCATAATATGTAACAAGGACTGGCTAGCATTACTTTCTCTTGTAGGCTAACAAACAACTTGATGTAAACAGCAGCATCAGAGAAGGTGAGGTTAAAAGATTAAGCTGCTCTTTTTGCATTAGGTGGTATCTATATCACCAGTAATAAAAAACAGATACATCGTTATTATATAAATTAATATTTTAATTGTCATTATTTAAATACATGGAGTAATTATAATAGAGTTTTGGTGACCTACAAAAAACTCTAATGATTGTCTTAGGGCTATTTACGTAATCAGCTATCCACAAGATTCCTTATTTAGATGGAACTATCGTTAGTTCTTTAAATTATAGTCCACTTTTAATGTGAACATTTACTTTAAACCTTTTTAGCTGTTCTCTTCTTTATAGTTCAGGTTTATCTAAAAAGAAGTAAAGTAATTTTATATTATAATAAATAAGATTCGAAGAATATTATAACAAAACTTAGTTATGGCAACGATATACATATGTTTTAAGACATAAGCTTAATGAAACTTAATTTAAATAGTGAAAAAATCATAATGTTTAAAACACAACAAACATTAAAATTACAATTAATTAATTATTTAGCAAACAGTTACAAACAAATCAATGAAATGTAATAATTTAAAGAAATCTATTGTAAATCTAATATTTATAGAGATATCTCGATATAGACATGTTTGGATTGTAATTTATAAAATTTTCAACACAATAAAGAGATCAAGAATTTCAGGCCTTGGTAGTGAAATTATGATTACTTTAAGGTTTGTAAGAGAATTTGATGACTATAAATGGAATCTTTAAGAACAAAAATTTTACAATCTTTAACCCACACTTTTTTCTAATACAATATCATAAATAGGCACTCATTAAAAAAAAAACAAATCATTTAATCCAATTCAAAGTTATTTTGCTACACACAGATCCTTATATTGACACTGTTAAAGCTGCAGGGCTAGCAGATATTCTTATTAAAAATAAAATAAAAATGAACAAGTCGCTACACAAGTAAAATTATTAATTTTATTATAACTATTTTTTTTTGGTTCGTGAAATAAATATTAATTTCACAACGTTTAAAGACTTCCACTTCATTCATATGATAAATATTTTTATACAATTTTAACAAATTACTTCAGATCTTTATTAAGCACTACGTAGGCTTTCAATGAAGTCTCATTTATTTTATCTATAGAGGTAAAGATGATAATATTATGTTATTACGTTGCACGTTTTCCATGTATTATTATTTATTGCATTTGTTTTTATTTTTTCACATTTTAATTTCGAGAGCTCCAAAAACATAAATATATTTTTTCCTTTGACATATTATATCTAGAATAAAGTTGCGAAAACTTAAATTTTTTGCCGTAATCCTTTGAAATATACGCTAGACATTTTTTTGTTATTGACTAAAATTATGAAAGTAATGTTTATTTATAATATTACTTTCCAAAAGACTCCATAAAGACCCTGGCTGTGGTCCAATTGGCTAGATATGATTCTATAATGACTGTCATTTTTCAAGATGATATAAATATTGTGTAAATAAAATTCTTTCATTGTAAGTTCTTTTAATCTTGATGAGTTTTTGATAGATTTTTTGAAGGAGCCGTCATGTTGGTTGCTGGTGTCATCAGACTGGTCACGATGTGTAGACGAGCTGCAACTAGCTGCAAGAGAGATTTCCGAGCGCTCTAACCACATAGTCTACTTCAACAAGAACACTGAATTGTGCTGGTAAAATATTTATCATAATAGATAAATTTTTAAGTAGTTTTTAATAAGTACTATCATCAATTTGATTACATTACGTCAAGCAACTGTGTATTTAGATATACGTCAGAGATTGTTTCTTCTCTTCTTACAGTAAAAGCGAATTAGGTTTGAAATATTTTACGTTGTTAGTATTATCTTGATATGGAAAATGAAAACTACACATTCTCTTTCTAAAACCATCGAGCCTGGTTGAATATAAAAGTAATTTTAAATTAATTCAAAAACCAAGTAGAAATTCTATATATTTTACATCGAAATTTCATCTGATCCAGCACACTTAGAAATTCTGCTTTGCATGTGTACATAGGTACAAATAAAACTGAAAAATAATGTAACCACATCCATATAAATTATAATGAACAAGATACCCGTCCTAACTTCGCATTGGTACCTTACAAAATATAAAATAGCTTATGTTGTGTATAAGGCGTTTAGTACTTACTTGGATAAAATCAAGACAAACAAAAATACCATCATCTTTCTTCGTTAAACATAAAATAAGTTTAAACTTAGAAAAACGGTATATTTTATGTTAATAATAGTTTTGTCATGTAATAAAACTACAAAAATTTTTGTATACAACATTAACGACGTGATCATGTGAAAAAGTGAGCTATCGCGTGGACTTCATTTTGAGAATTATCTAACTTGTGATAAATTTCATATGGTACGTCCGAATCAAATAATTCAAAAAGTAATTTATAGATACTGATGTAAGCTTGACCCCCAAGTGCTGTATTTTGATAAAGTTTTATACCGTTATTATATAAATAGCTTTCTTATAAACGCTTCATGAATGCCAATTTTTAAAATTATTAAAATGGATGTAGTATGTTATCCTTAAGAGATAGAAATATAGACATATCAAATAAATCAATGCAACGAAACGAATCAATACAAAACCTTAACAAATTATACATTAAAACCTTTCTCGGAAATCACACTATCGAGTGGTGTGAAGTGTGAAGGACTGAAGACCGCTTGATAATTGGTGCAGTAGTTTTTCTGTTTTTGCGAACAGAGAGACATACAGACGCAGCGGGGGACTTTATTTTATAATATGTTTTGATTCTCTAGTGGCTAGCGTGTTTGTATCAAATATAGTTACTCAATTATGTAGTAAATAATTGAAATTGATTGATATAATAAGCACAGCAAAAATTTTTATTAAGTATGCGAAGATTTGAAGAAAAAACTTTTATTAATTTAATTCATAATATTAATAATAAAAATCTGGTTATACAGTCATTTAGAATTTTTATCCAATTATTCCAGGCATCAAAACACATCTAGATATTTCAAATTATTTTAGATTCATGTAATTGTAATAAACAGTACAAATTTATATTTCAAATTTTAAATAAACACAACGAAAAATTAGGGAAGATCAATCCCTAAGAAACAGATTAAATTATATTTATTTTATTATGTTATAACCTTCAAATATGTATATTACTGGCAAATGACTCTCTACGTTTTGTATGGAGGTGGTTACAAAGTAATTTAAAAAACCATTAATTGCTGTTGATCAAACTACTTCAATAATTATCTTAAAGTTATATATAACGTATTGTTACTTAGTTCAAGTTCTTACTCATTGAAATGAGTACTCTTTGTTGCATCAGTGCCCGTGACGCGTTTTTGTCGTGCGTCAGTCGTGCTGGAAGAGCATGTTCAGCGTCGGCAGGGGCGTTGTTGCGGCGAATGGCATGGGTTCTGGCACAGGATGTTGCAGCATGCAGTCAACAACCCCGTGCGTATTGTGCCGCACCTGTGCCACTTCAATGCTGCTTACCGCTACTCACAGCTCTGTCTGGCATACTACTCTATCCTTTAGTGCTTTAGTCACAGAGGTTAGACATTAATATAATAGTAAATTTTTGTTTATAATATTTCTGAGAAATGTAAATAAATTTTATGTCAGACAACAAACAAATAAACGTTAATATGTAATTAAAATGGGTTTATTATAACGTTGCTATTATTTTATACCCATTTCTTTTTCAGATGTTATAATTTAGTATATTTAGTTACTGAAAATTTATTTGGTATTTTGCCATAATATACATACTTCCATGTTTTATTTTTTTTATATTTTTAATTCTTTAAAAAAAACTATATACTTCATAAAACTATTTTCATTGAAATAGATTATATTAAAATGTTCATAAAAAATATTTTCTTCTATAATACGAGTAACTTTCTTCTGTAGTATGACATTTATAATATTTTTATAGTTTTATACCAGGTGTTACTTCTGCTCTTAAAAAATCATAAAATAACTATCACGCAGTCTACAGGTGATGCAATTAGATAAAAGTACAATGCATAAAAAAATTACACAATAAAAAGATAGTTTCTATTTTATAAATAATGCTTCCCTAGATTAATTTCCTTCGTATCCTTTTATAGAAAGTTAAAATGCTATCATCTGTCTTTTAGTAATGTATTCAAACACAAATGCTTTTCTTTGAAATGTATTTCAATATTACATATTTTTCTTTAAGTCTGTAAAAAAAATTATCGTTAGAAAAGATTCTAGACAATCCATTTGATTTAAACATATCCTGTACCTGTACTTATAATGTTATTCGGTTTATTGCTTGTTTAGTATGATAAATATAATGTTATTAATATCTATAAAGTAGTTAGAGTCATAAAAACAAAATTAGTTTTGTGACAACAAATATATAATTGTATTTTTTAATATTTTATTTTAGCCCTTTCTATGTACTCGTATTTTAATAAAGCTCACTCTTTATTTTAGAGTAAATTATGGTTTTGGGCAACATTTTGCAATACAATTATTTAGATTTTCCATCAAAGCATTCAATGTTGGTTAAAAAAAGAAACGATTTTGTTTTTTAACACAATTGTTATTATTCTTATACTTCACATAAAACATAGACTTTGAACTATTTTCTAGTTAATTGATAATATTTATTTTAGGAATCATGATTATATATCATATCATATATTAAGATCTAAAATAAAAAGAATCACCAAAATGGTTTAATATTCGTTCTTATTTTAGACATAAAGATTAATCTATAATAATCCGATAAAGTCATGTTTGTAATCATGTTTTCATTATACGATTCCAATACTTCTGTATTTATCTCCTTGAGGTTCAGTGAAGTGGATTAGTTCATTACTCTTCCTTTTAAGCCTCAGATATCTCCTTCATAGAATTACATTTTCATACTCTGGTAAATAAACATCGTGGTATACTTATCCTTTACAAGATTTATTTATTTTTTACGAATTAATTAGTGATTGCTGATACGTCATTTTGTACAATCAGCTGTCAAAGAACAACGTAAGTATGAACTTTGATGCTGATTACATTTAAGAGTGATAATTGTAAAATTTATCCAGATGCACTCTTTCGCGACCCTTGCTTTTATCTGGTCACAGTATAAAGGGGTATGATAAAACCATTTTTTTATTAAACTATTTACATTATCTAATATACTATTTTAGTTTTTAATCGATTGAACTCATCGCATAACAAAGCTTTATGTATTTGCTTCTCAATCGTATGAAGATTTTTTTAAAGAACTGTATATACTGTAGTAAAATACATGTATATATTGGGTGAACGAGAAAAAACATAGCAATATAAAAGAAAATCGTTGATTGAATCTATTGAAAGGAGGACAATATGCAGAAGGATCAATCTTAAATAATTATTAGGAACTTATTACGTATTATTTCTTTAAATATTAAGTAGCCATATAAATCAAACATTATTAACTTCTAATATTTTAATATACAGTATGCTTGTTGAGAAAATAATGGTTTAGTAAAACAGAAATAGAAAGGAAATCTGGATGATTAAATATTTACACATGTAACCGCTACTTGTAAAGTCAATACTATTTAATATGTTTATAAGGAAGGGAAACCACTGTTTTTATTACATAAAAAGTTTGATTGGATTTTGCTTCCTTTCCTATTTTTTGTAAAAAAGCTTTCATTTGATACACTACCGTATCAGGTGTATAAATAACGGTCTATCATCTTTAAAAGACCTTGTATAATTTATAAAAACATATCATAAACCACCTTAACACACTTTGAACACCAAGTTAAATAGTGATTTCATTTAAATATACTGTTTTATGCGTAATTATAAAATTACTTTATATTTTTTGTGCAAAGACCACAGAATTACCAGGGGATCAGCCCTTGTTTATTAGCTTTAGTATTTAATTTTCACATCATTTGTACAACATTTCAACTTATTTGATTTAATAACTTATATAATATAAATTGGAATAATGACTTGTATAATATTAATATTACACAAATTCAAGAACTATATATTTTTTGATTACTCCTCGAATTAACTTCTATAAAAACGTTTATGGACATTTTTTAAATATTTCATAGGGTAGTCAAATCTAAGCAAATCCAAATTTTTGTATAAACAATTTGAGAGTATGAAAAATTATGAAAGTTATCATTTTTGGCCTACGGATTTTTAAATTAATTTTGATTTTTTCCATAAGTTTTATTTGAATAAATAAATTATTTATGGAGGAAAGATGATACTGATGAGTGGAAACAAAAATTAATAGTGAGGTAATGTAAAGCAACATTTGGCCAAAAGGAAAATTGGTTCATGAGCTGAGTTTATTCCAATATTCTTCTAAATTTTCGTTGGCGTTAATTTCTTAATATGAGTTTTGAATATTAAAGTATAAAAATAGAAACATAGACTATCACTTATAGCCAGTGGCGGCTGTACCTTAAGTGCGCCCGTGCGCTGAACCACCAATTCAAAATATTTAAAAATTACAAAATATTATGTCATCTTAATTTTTAAATTACCATTTTAATATTTATTTTTTAAACATACAAAAAGGTATAAAAAATTTAATTTCCAATTATGGTCAAAAAGTTTGAGCGCTTTACTAAACTAATATCTCGTGCGCTCCGGCGAGTGCACGAGGACTGCTAATACATCTTGTATGAGACACGCATCAATACGCCTGGCGCGTGAGACAAAAGATAGTTCATAGAAATGTACCGAGTAATGAGTCGGTTCTCGCGCGCCGCACGAAGCGGCCGAAGGTTACCGAGAGCACCCGATGTATGACGTATTGAGCCGGCCGGCAAGGGGCCGGCCGAAAGGATGGGTGCTATGATTGACATTTCGTTAATCGTTATTGGTATTGTTTCAACTTTCACTGTATGCGTGACGCGTTAATTCGTTATTGTTTATAATTATTTCCGTAATTCGTTTTAGTTTTTATTTCGTTTCTATAATAGAACTTTTATTCTGTACTGTGTTTTTTATTAGTTGAAAATGAGTATAAATATTGATTATATTAAAGAAAATAACAAAATTTTTCAAAGTAAAGTGAACATAAAATTGGCCGGGCCGCCACGGCCCTTTTTAAATTTAAAACAAGAGTGTAAATCGAAAAATAAAGCATTTATACGAAGTTTTAAAAGTGAAATGTATAATAGAAAGAAATGGTTGTGTGGATGTGAGCGTCTTAATGCATTCTTTTGTTTTCCTTGCATTATTTTTGGCGGAGAATCGATTTGGACAGAAACTGGAATCAGATTTTATGTACAAAAAATAAACATATTTTATGTCAATTGTTGTTTTTGTCAATATTTTAGTAAAGTGAACCACCAGTTCGATAACCCACCAGCCGCCACTGCTTATAGCATTCAAAGCATTAAAATAATTAACTTGTATTTCTATGACTATTATTGTTTTAGTATTATTTGTATTATAATTTAAAATTAAGTAAAGTAAATATTATTCATATCTAAAAGAACGTTTTCAATTTCTTAGTTCTTCACATAGTCATAATCTTCGTTCTGAAGAGAATTTGATGTTAAAAATACCACCTCATACAACTTCTTTTTACACTCACTCCTTTACAGTCCATTCTATTCGTCTTTGGAACTCTCTTCCACTCGAAGCAAGACGTGCACCAACTTTGAGTTCTTTTAAAAAAATGATAAAAGAGCACTATCTTGCTTCGTGAAGAAATATGTACTGCAATTAAATATTTTATTTACATATTATGTAAGTATCTATAGTATGTAAATGTATAGTATTGTAATGTATCTATAGTATTTATAATGTGTATGTATATTATATTATTATATAAGTATATATTTATGGTATATTTATTTATGTATCGTATATTGTATCTATATTTATAAATTGTACACCCCTACCATCCTATCTCTCTCCTCTACCAAAGGTTGCCTGGAAGAGATCGCTGTTTTAGCGATAAGGCCGCCTATTGTACATTTTCTTTTCTTTATGTTACTCCTATTATTTGTCTATATTGGTGTACAATAAAGAGTAAAATAAAAATAAATAAATAAATAAAGTATAAATGTGATAATTATTAGGCCCATTTATAAAGATGTAGCTGTAGGCCTTCTTCCTTGTGGTATACAAATATCCAAAGCGTTCCAAACCCAAAGTTATCTATGCCTGTTCGAAATACTTAAGTAGTTACGCACTAAACTCCCAAACTTAGCGAATCTTACACACCAAGGAAATCCGAACATTACTATGAAGAAAAGGTCTTTGGTGAAATAACTTTTTGTAGAAGATATTTAAGACACGATCGATGATTCAAAGACTTTTTTGTTCCGCTTTGTATTTTTAAAGTTGGGTTTTTATGTCGGCATACAGCTGAAAGAAAAACATATATACTAAGTACAAAAATGAAGCAAAATATTTTATTATGAAATAATTACCTCTGGCCTTTTCTAGAACCGTAAGGGTCTGCAGACTTGTTTAATATTTGCTTTATACCTGACGTATTTCAAAACGAGGGTCTAGATTGACACTTGGCAACAAAATGATCCTGTACAAAGCTTTCCATTTTTAGCATTTTCACTAAACAATTCAAACATATCACGCATTTTATCGTACTTAAATGTTTCTATCAATCGCAATATATTTAATTTTATTTTAATCATTTGATTGAGGACATGGATATGTCTTTAAGGCAGTTTCTTTACATAGAAGA